CTTTTTGCTCTACGACATATCAAAACTTGATGATGGCGATCTTTTGGTATCAAGAGCTACGACCGGAGATGAAATGTAAATCTGGAAAAAAATCTGCTGTTTTTACAGAAGTTCCATGTACTTTACAGTGCGGAAACGATTCAGAGCCACTTCTGAAGGCGGCTACAAAAATTTGGTACGCTTTAAATGTTGAAAATTTGTTACAAATGTTGTACTTTACTTTAATAATATTAACAAATTATTATTCTGGAGAGTTGTAAAAGGTAGCTTTCACTCAAGCTTTTTCTACTTTTGTATGTCGTGGTTTCTAAGCTCTTGAAATTATCTTGTACTCGTTAAAGTTTTGATTGCGCAATGGAACAGAAGCTTGACTTGTTATTCTTCGTTGAAATTATGTGCTGGAGTTCTCCAGAAACATAACTTAATTCAACAGCTAACCAGGTAAAGTCGTGAGTTCTTAGGCTTCTTTGCGACTCCAAAATTTATATGAACGACGTAATTTTGACAGAATAAAACACAAGAAGCCTAAAACGCTGAACTAAAGACTACCTCTTACAACTTTGCAGAGTAATAATTTTTCAGTATTATTAAATTAAAGTACAACTTCTGTAACAAATTTTCAACGTTTAAAGCATACCGCATCTCCGTAGCCGCCTTAAGAAGCGGTTCTAGACGGTTTCGTCACTGTGAAATGTATGCGGTTGCTGTAAAAATAGGGAGATTTTTTCAATTTCACATTTCATCCCGGCTCGTAGGTTTTGATACCAAAGAATCGCCATCATCAAGTTTTGATATGTCGTAGAGCAAAAAGTTTTGCGCGCAATGTATTTTTTTTTAAAAAAATTTAAAACGTCCTTTTTTTCTAATGTTTGTATGAAATTTTATTTTTGTATTTATGTTATTTTTTAACAAAATAAGATAATAAATATGCATTTAAAAGTTCATAGCGTATCATATCATTAAAACAAAAAATCATTGAATTCTGTTATAAGAAAAGTTAGAAATCAGCGAAGATAGGCTCTTCTAGCAAAAACCTGGCAAATTTTGCAGCTTTGAGTGGTATAACTTGGCAAGAAAGTTACCCTTCCTGGTTTTTTTCGGCTCTCTACATACTGGCCCAGGCTTTGCTAATGAGCAAAATTTAGAAGAAAATTTGAATTATGAAGGATAAAAAGTGTGCCACTGGGCATATATATATTAATTCGCACACTTTTTTCACTACATATCTCAAAATTTTTCAAGTCTTGCTGTTCACCAAACTTTAGGTTCAAGTCTAAGAAATTGAAAAGTACACCTGAAAATGCCAAATTTTCACCAATCGATGCCCCTCAAAACTGCAAAAATTGCCAGTCTTTGTTTGACTTGTCTGTCTTGACGCATTTGCACTTCAGCTCAACCTTCGCGAAATTGAGTGCTTAATAGATTATTAGGTTCCGTGGTTCAATTTCTACTTTAAAATGAATACAAATATAAAAATCTTCCTTTTTAGGAGACAAGAGGATTAACAGAACTAAAGCAGAGGTTGAAAAAAATATGAAAAAAAAAAAGCCTTTTTAAACATTTTGAAAACTATACATTTTTTGCGAGATTTATTTCTTTATAATTAGTCGCAAAGTGGCACTTTTCCTTCAACGGAGTAAAAAGTTACGCGTCACAAGGTAAGGTGCGATTTCTTCAAAAAGCTGTTATCTCTGCAGCAGTAACATTCATTTTACGGTGGCAAAATTTCTTTTAGCTGCAAAATCCACTTTTGGATGTCCAAGTGAACCGTTACGAATATCCGCCCTAAAGCAGAAACATTCGTGAATCAAATCTGTCTTGTGTTTCATCTATCGCTTATTTCAGCGTCAATGTTGCGAGTAAATATGTGTAAATTGCCAAAAACAGCTATAACTAACTGTTTCAGTTGAACAATGGTGATAAATTTTTTTGCTTGACGGCTTATGTTGTCAGGTTTATTGTCTTCATTAATGATGCGCTCGTTTCGTGCACTAGTTGAAGGTTTTGTTTACAAAAGATAAATTTGAACCTGGCATCAAATGAATTAAGATGACCAAAACCTTCACTTCAGTTTTGTCAATTTTTTGGATTTCATGTATATGATAATTTTCTCCCTACACTGTAACAGTGAAAAGTTCTCCTGCTACTGTTATAAAATGAATCTTGCTTGATTGTGGTTTTTAACTGCTTTTTCCTATTCTAAAAAGTAGTGAAATAATAAATCCATCTGCGGATGAGAAGCGATCCTGCTAGTAAGATTTATCAACAAACAAAAATCTTAAGTGATGACCAGATTCTTATCGAGGAGCTGCGAGTACAAGTGACGTACAGCAAAATTTAAACAGCATTAAAGAAGTAAACTTATTTTTCTTGATAACAAAGAGAATGTGGCAGATTTATCAAAGTAAACATCAAAAGCAGTATTTAAAAGGTGATAGGAGAAAAAAGTGTAACAATAAATCTGTAAGATTCCTCATTCTCTTTACTTTTTCAATTTCTACATTGCTGCCAACCCAATACCTGTATGAAACCTGCAAACGAATCGTACTCGCCGACTAGATATGTTAAAGAAACTGAACCCTCGTATTCAACTTCCTACAGTTAAAGGCCGCTGTGTACTTATCTACGAAAAAAAATATTGCCCACATAGAGCAGTAGTCCAAACATAAAGAGTACGAGTAATTAGTGAAAAGTACATATATTTGGCTTCATAAAAATCAAGTATAATTCTTTTCTCCACTAACTTCTACTTTTTTTCAGCCGTTTTAAGAAAACGAAGTAAACAAAGAAAAAAATTTGAAAACCGCAGAATATACATAAAACTAGAAACAGTCCTCCTTCTTCAGTATTCTTCCAGTTCCTCCATTTCTTCTGTTGCGTCCATTGCTACCTTAATTTTAGCGATTAAAAGTAACAAATGTCTTATTTTGAGCACAATAAATAAAATAAGTTTTACTAGAATTTTTCCTAAGATAAAAACGTGCAGACTAAGTTTTTTCTATATATTACTTACTTCCGAGTAATCTTTCTCGAGAGCAGCCAAATCTTCTCGCGCTTCTGAGAACTCTCCTTCTTCCATTCCTTCTCCAACATACCAGTGAACAAATGCTCTTTTAGCGTACATCAAATCAAATTTGTAATTAAGTCTCGCCCAAGCATCGTCAATAGCTGTAGTATTTGCAAGCATACAAACTGCACGTGGTACTTTAGCCAAGTCGCCACCAGGAACAACAGTTGGAGGCTGATAATTGATGCCAACCTAAAAAAATTATTTTTTTTAAATTATCAAGCTTGTGCTACACATCTACAGTGCACAAAAAAAAACAGGCTATCTTAACAGTTGTGACATAAAAGCAAATAACGGTGACAGTTTCAAGAAAAGATAATCTTTTAAAACTTTTTTACCTTAAAACCGGTGGGACACCATTCTACAAATTGAATGTTCCGTTTCGTTTTTATAGTTGCGATAGCTGCATTAACGTCTTTTGGTACAACATCACCGCGATACAGCAAGCAAACGGCCATATATTTCCCGTTTCTCGGATTACACTTTAAAAGAAGCAGTAATAAGATCATTGTGAAATGTCGAAAAAATTAACTGTAAGAAAGCGAAACTCACCTTTACCATCTGGTTATTTGGTTCAAAACATGCATTTGTAATATCAGCCACTTTCAAAGCCTCATGATACGCCTTCTCTGCAGAAATAACTGGAGCATAATTGACAAGTGGGAAATGAATTCTAGGATAAGGCACAAGGTTGGTTTGAAATTCGGTCAGATCTACGTTCAGTGCGCCATCAAATCGTAACGAAGCGGTAATTGAAGAAACAACCTATAGCGAACACTTCAGTAGACTAAAATAAAATAAAATTTACTTCATTTTTATTAAACAACAGTAACACTCGCATTGCCGAACCTGCGATATAAGACGGTTGAGATTGGTGTATGAAGGGCGTTCGACATCTAGACTGTGACGACAGATGTCATATATGGCTTCGTTATCCACCATGAAAGAACAGTCTGTGTGTTCTAGTGTTCCATGTGTTGTAAGAATAGAGTTGTATGGTTCCACCACCGCGGTCGAAACTTGCGGAGCCGGATAAATCGAAAACTCTAATTTGCTCTTTTTACCATAATCCAGTGATAAACGTTCCATTAACAATGATGTGAAACCAGAACCAGTGCCGCCACCAAATGAATGGAAAATCAAGAATCCTAAAAAATATATTAATCACTAAAATGCGCGTCTTAAGTAGATAAGCAAAAGATTCTTGTTAAAGCATTAACTGCTGAAAAAAGTCGGTCAAAATTCTACTTTTTTTTACTTGCCTAAACACGAAATTTTTTGTTTTTTTCACCTTTAAAATTTTTGTGGTTTTTCAGATTTTTTCTAAATTTCCTTCAGCAACACTTTTAGTTCAGTTTTAGCAGACATTCGCACTACAATTTCAAGACCTCTTTCCAGTAAAAAAGGATAAAAAGTACCTCTTTCTACAATCATTATTGCTGAATTTTCGTAGTCAATTCAAGCAGAGTATGACAAACATTTTTACGCTTGAAGAATTAAAGTATCAAGCTAAAGCTCCTTCCAATTTTGCATTACAGAGGAAAAAAAACAAGTTTCAGACAAAACCGTTGTGCAATAATTACTTGACAGCAGAATTCGACTAACAAAACAGTTTTTTATAACTGTTACCTTTCCCAGTAACATTTATGTTCTTTTCACTCATTGTCAGGCACACAAAAGCAAAATAAGTTTATTCTAAAACTTTCTTTTTCAGCAACCTTCAAAAGTATTTAAGACAATATCTTAATGACACCTTTCAAATTAAAAAAATATCATCTCAAAATATTAGCTGCATAGATGTATGTAAACAAACTGTAATTTTTCATTTTAAAATCTCAATGATTTTAATTTACTGCTTATTAAACTAAGTAATGGTTTTTTAGTCCTTCATTAATAATTTGTTAATTTCCTCATAGTCTGTCCACATCCGCTCAAAATATATTAATTTTCATAGTGATAGAAAAAAATAAACGAGTGATGGAATTTGAGAACCCATTAAGTGACTAGAAGACATGCAAGTAAAGAAAACAGAAATATTAAAAAATTTTATGTATATTTTCCACAAGCATAGAAACTGCATTAGAACTGTATTGCTTATTTTGTTTTGTTACATAAAAGTGTTTAAATTATATAAATTATTTTGTTATATAAAAGTAGTGAATAGATAGTGCATAGACTTAATGTTCCTTAGTATTCTTATGATGCAGCACAGTTCAACTTATATATTTAGCTTGTCTAGAATTCATGTACATCATTTTGGTACGCTCGTATCGAAAGTAGCCCCTAAGACAATTTAGACAATAATTAGAAAACTATTAAACAATTAAAAGCAATGGTACCTTGAAGCCCAGTGCAATCTTCAGCAAGTCGACGAATTCTGTCCACTACTATTTCAATAAATTCCCTTCCAACAGTATAATGACCACGTGCAAAATTGTTAGCAGCGTCTTCTTTACCAGTAACCATCTGCTCAGGATGAAACAGTTGTTTATACGTTCCAGTCCGAATCTCGTCTAAATTTTTCGTTCTCAAACATTCGGAATTGAACAGATTAAGGAAAGGTGAAAAGGTGCATTCCATTTTTCATTAATTAGTTCACAAAAAGAAATTTGCTAAAGTATACGTAAGGAATACACGATAAAAAAAATTTACAGATCAATGCAGAAAACTATTCAGCAGATATTACGAAAGCAAATTTGAAAAGAGTACAGTTCTTTTATTTCCTCACCGACTACAGTTGGCTCCAAGTCCACCATAACAGCACGCGGAACATGACGACCGTTACCAGTGTCAGAAAAAAAAGTAGAAAATGATTCGTCAATTTGATCTTGCTTATCTGAAGGTATACAGCCGTCAGGTTGGATACCATGTTCCAAACAAAAAAGCTCCCAACATGCGTTGCCTATCTGAACTCCAGCTTGTCCAACATGAACAGATATCACTTCCCGCTGAAACTGTCAGCTTAAAGGCAAAAAGATAAAAAGAGGAAATCTTTGCTTTTATTAAAGATTTTTGTCAACTAAGCGCAGACTGTGGCCAACTAGGCTTTCATATGCAAAACGAGAAATGTGTTTATTAGGTGCAATTGAACTATAACAAAAATGATGGTCGAAATATAGATGATTTATAATCAGATAAATAAATAGATAAAAAAAATATTTAATCGCCTACCATTGTCAACCAGATACGACTGTATTGATGTTACCTAAAAAAGTAGTATAAATAAGACAAAAGAGCATTCAAAAAATGTATAAAAACTTGTAAACTCAGAAATTGTTGATATTATAAACAAAAACTAGAAAGCGCGTGAAAATTTTACTTTTTTTTGCCATTTTTTGCCACACTTTTTTGCTTCCTGATCTTCACCTTTATTTTGTTTCCACAAAATTTAAAATGACAACTAATATGTCAGAAAATACACCAAGCGTTACACAAAAATAACATAACAAACATATTCGACTTGTCTATATTTATACTATTCCTTGAAAATGCTGCTTTGTTATATTTTCTATGTCTTGTAACAAACTTTTACAACCATTCACTTAATCTAGATTGACAAGTAATTCCAGCAGCTAGTGGTTTTTGACAACGAAGCAGTAGCACAGCTGTTGACGCACAGAGTTACTCCACAATTTACTTCGTCTCAGAATGCGATCCAAGCAAAAACTTTGACAGACGTTACTAAACTTATTCAAAAATTCTATTTTGTATGTTGAACAAAAAAAATTACGAGCAAAATTTATACACCGATTTATACCATTGATCGGTACAGGAGGCGAAGAAGCCAGGATTAAATAGGTTAGTGCTGTTTCAAACTAAGAAATGAAGCGATAATAATAAGTAATGTGCATTCTAAGAATTGTTTCTGCTAAATATAACCAAACATATCCATTAGCAAGAGAGTGATTGTAGAACAAAGTGTTTACTACATTAAATGGAGTTTAATTTAACAGTTGATTAATGGTGGGAGTCCTTGGTATACATAGGCGAACGACCTATTTCGGTATGCAGCATCGCTGTGGTTGTAGATAACGCTGCTGACGGCATAATCAATTCCATTGTGATCGTCTGATTTCAGTAACATCAGAAGAAATTCATGAAATTCAAGCTGACCTCCTGCCAGTTGAAAAAAAAAAAA